TCGGTGATTCGTCGTCCTGAGATGCTAGCGGAAGCTACACAGAACTGTCCGGCAGTCACGGCCTTCCAGCCTAAAAAGCCACGACGTTCGTTGATCAGCATTGTTGGGGGAGAGGGGGCGGGCGTTCTTGGAAAGCTGGATGGGTGGTGCCACGCCAGCGACCATGACCCGATCGAGCAGTCCTGTACCCAGCTGGCGCTGCATAGTTCTGACGGCGACAATGACCGACGATGCTGACCTGCCCCTCCCCCCCCTCTCCCCCCTGCTCGTGCCGGCGGCTGCGCATGGGGGCGAGGGGACGGCCGACATCCGCGCAGCCTGACCACGTCAGCCTGAGGCTGCGCGGACGTAGCCAGCCGCGGGGATGGGCTCGTCGCCCCGGCGACAGTGATTTCAGGCCCGCCACACTGGCCGCCGCCCGCGCCAGCCGGGCGTCCAAGTCATGGCGCAGGCCGCAGATCTGGCGCCGCCACGTCGGCAACAGCGGCTCCGTCTCGGCCTGGTGACGGCGTCGACGGTCACTGTGCACTGATGCCTGCGGTCTCGGCCTGGTGACGGCGTCGACCGTCACTGTGCACTGGTGCCTGCGCGTCCCGAGCTCTGCCGCGGCGACCAGCGGCCAACGCCGAACCCTGCCCAAACAAACGCCCTGAGCTTCGAAGTCGACGAAACCACGCCGAACGCGGACAGAGTGCCGCCACATACAGATGTCCGCTTAAGGCATGCATGCTGCCGCCACACAAATATCCGCTGGAAGCATGCAGGCATCGCCACAAACCACTCAGTCACCGCCTCGCTGGGCCTCGCAGTGGAATGCGGCTTCTGGAACATCACCAGCACCTGATCCTGACTCGTCACCAGAGAACCAGAGCACAACGCCGCCTCTGAGGCGACGGCCCAGCCTCATAACCCGAACCCGACAAAGCCGTTTCCACCGGAGCCGCAGCCGCTTCCGTCGCTGGGACAATAGGCCCGCGGGCCCGAACTGCCTGCGCACTCCACCGCTCTCACTCCGCAGGCACCCACTTGGCCTAAATGCGAGATGAGTCTTCATGACGGAAATGGACCGATAAAGCCCCGGCGGGTGCGGCGGCCTCTGTGAGAACTGCCGTCCCGATTACTAAGCGCCTTGGTTCTAAAGAGCCGCAGGGAGGCGGCCAGTACAAGCCCATGTTAGCACATACCAGACAACGCTGGGCAACGATGCAGACAGACTACTTTGCGTGTGCCATACACTGACATGCGACGTTCAACCTCAAGCCCTGACCAAGCGAACAGCCGGCTTCCACGCCTACTGCAATCGCCGGCCACCCGCCGACGCCCGTCCTACACAGCTACATCCCTGCCGGACGGCGCCCGCCACCGCCACCGGGCCGGACGCTGCCCCAAGGTGGCTCGCGCGGGCACGATCTCCTCAGACGGGCATGTGTGGCGGCTAGCGTGCTCCTGCGCCGGGGCCGAGCGACCCTGCAGCCACACGTGTGTGACGGCCCATTACCGGGCCGTCGGCAGCTGACGGCGTCGCTAGGGGCGCGGCGACCGACGCCCGGAGCGGTCCGGCGACTCAGACCACCGGTGTCTCAGACCACCGGTGTGCCGCTGATCATCGAGACCACTGCTGATGTGCTGATGACTAAGACGGCGTCGCTAGGGGCGCGGCGACAGACGCCCGGAGCGGGCCGGCGGCCGACGGGTCTCAGACCACCGGTGTGCCGCTGATCATCGAGACCACTGCTGATGTGCTGATGACTAAGACGGCGTCACTAGGGGCGCGGCGACCGACGCCCGGAGCGGGCCGGCGGCCGACGGGTCTCAGACCACCGATGTGCCGCTGATTATCGAGACCACTGCTGATGTGCTGATGACTAAGACGGCGTCACTAGGAGCGCGGCGACCGACGCCCGGAGCGGGCCGGCGGCCGACGGGTCTCAGACCACCGGTGTGCCGCTGATCATCGAGACCACTGCTGATGTGCTGATGACTAAGACGGCGTCGCTAGGGGCGCGGCGACCGACGCCCGGAGCGGGCCGGCGGCCGACGGGTCTCAGACCACCGGTGTGCCGCTGATCATCGAGACCACTGCTAATGTGCTGATGACTAAGACGGCGTCGCTAGGGGCGCGGCGACTGACGCCCGGAGCGGGCCGGCGGCCGACGGGTCTCAGACCACCGGTGTGCCGCCGATCATCGAGACCACTGCTGATGTGCTGATGACGAAGACGGCCAACCGGGAGTTGTTTGTCAGCCGGCCCGCGTGAATCGGTCCGTCGTTGCTTGCCTTAAGCCGGCAGCGGTCAGACATACATCATTTCAGAATGGTCGGACCGATGACAGCCCAGAACGTTCAAACCAACACCAGCCTAGAATACGCGCGATGCTTGCAACCAAAATGTGTGACGTCTGGCGTTCTCGAGCGCCGACTTTTCCTATCGTGACAGCAGATAAGAGACTGCGACTCAAGCGCCGCGGCCGGTACAAGCGCTGATAAACGCTCCGCTGACTAATACAACACCTCCTGCGCACAAAGGTCCACCTGGTCCGGCGCCGGCAGCGCGGAGAGACCACCCCCTCACGGTGAGCGGGGGGGGGGAGGGGGCGTCCCCCTTCCACCCGGACACTGCTGAGCGCCTCCACACGGGCTGGACAAGACACACGGGGTCACCGGTCCTGGCGCCGCCGGCCCTGGTACATGTCCCGTGGCCTGGCGCGGGCCGGACAAGACACACGGAGTCACCGGGCCTGGCGCGGGCCGGCCCTGGCACATGTCTCATGGCCTGGTGCGGGTCGGACCAGACACACGGGGTCACCGGGCCTGGCGCCGCCGGCCCTGGTACATGTCCCGTGGCTTGGCGCGGGTCGGACCAGACACACGGGGTCACCGGGCCTGGCGCCGCCGGCCCTGGCACATGTCCCGTGGCCTGGCCGAGGACATGCCGCGACGATGAGGTCATCCCTGCGGCACGGCAGCGCCGATACTACACGGGAGTCGGAGATAGCGACTGGAGGGATTACCTAGAGGAGAAGACTAATGAAAAATAAACGGGTCCTATAGGCATATGTAGTGTGAAAATTTGAACGGGATGTGCTGCTTGCCGATAAGGCCATGGAAGAGCTGTACAAATACGGCATATGGGCGCAGCTAACTTACTAGCCGCTTTATTACGACCGCATCCACGAAAAGTGGGTGTTTCAGTGAGAAATGATGGGCGAGATGCCATGTGGGTCATGTTTCACGCCCAGCTTACCACACACGGCCCGCATACCACTTGCTTGCACACCTCAGCGATCACGGACATAAAACTGGGAGGCTGCATGCAAAACAGCGGGGCACGCAGCCCCCGTGGAGTCGTCTGGGACGCAGCATTATCCCGATTACCGCCGCCGTTCCCTCCACTCTCGCCGCCTTCTGTTTCCCATCAGCCTGTGATGTCGGCCGCCCTTTAACACGCGGCTTCCTGTTGTCCAAGGGGGACGTGACGGCGACACGGCCCGCCGTCGCGGCGACACGGCGCTGCCGTCGCGGCGACATGGCCTAGCCGTCGCAGCGACACGGCCCTGCCGTCGCGGCGACATGGCCTAGCCGTTGCAGCGACACGGCCCTGTCGTCGCGGCGGCATGGCCCTGCCGTCGCGGCGGCATGGCCTAGTCGTCGCAGCGACACGGCCCTGTCGTCGCGGCGGCATGGCCCTGCCGTCGCGGCGACATGGCCTAGCCGTTGCAGCGAGACGGCCCTGCCGTCGCGGCGACACTCGTTTGCTCTCGTGGAGGCACGGGTTCTGCTGCTGTGACCACACTACCGGCCCGCCATGTTCTCACAGACGGCCCATCGACAGTGACAGGTGCAGGGCGGCGGGGGGGGGGGGGGGCGGCGGCACGCTGCACAACAGTAGAGCCCCCCCCCCCCCCCCCCCCCCCCCACACGCATCGCCACCGGGATCCGCAGCTGGCCGTACGTCACCACAGACACCTGGCCTGAGCCTGGCGCCGACCACACACACACACACACAGTGAGCGGGCGGCGGAGACCGGCCCCAGCCCGCGTCACGGTCCGGCCGGCGGCGCTGTCCGTCCCCGGTGGCTGGCCGCGCGCCGCCGCGCAGCTCGGTCCGGCTCGCCGTCCACCGCCGGGCCGGCGCTGACTGAAGACCGGCGCCAGTGTGCGGCGGCGCGGCACCAGCGCCAGCCATCCATCCACCTGCCCTGGCCGTCCTCAGGCCAGCAGGCGTGAAAGACAGAGCTGTCGGCGGCACTCGCCGCTGCCCTCTCGACGGACGGACCCCTGAGAGCCAACCGGCCGGCCCGCGTCTGCGGCAGCCGCCGGCAGTGCATGACACCCGCTCACTTCAAGGCTTCAGCCCGGGGGCAGTGATGGCACGGCTCAAGCTCGCGCGCACCGACACTTGCTTCACTGCTGCAGCTCCCGTGTCGGGCGGCAGTTACACCTTCAGACCCTCCATAAAGGGCTGATCATTTCAACATAGGTTGGCTCGCAGCCACGTTATCCATGTCATCCTTCATTTGAGGGCGCGCCACGTAGTGGAGCTGGCATGCGTCATGGTTTTCTCTTAAATCAAGAAAGTTAAGTTATGTAAATGTGCTATTCGACCTCCAGCTATCTTCCTTTTCAATAAGCGGGCTCTGCAGAATTTATTTTACAGAAATATGCCTTGCCTTTTAGTTCTCTAACATTTTGTTTGCACTGTGACCGCGGGCTTAACATCGAATTAGCGTCAGCATCAAACGCGAAGCAACTGTATGCGTGAAAGTCACCTAGCCAGGAATGGGCCCTCGAACCACTAGAGCCATTACGGAGGAAAATACATACAGAGCGACTCACGGCACGGAACCATATCCTTTGTTACAGACGCAGTTCATTGAATGAGAACAACAGTAGGCTTCCTGCACCAATGGGCGCCTCAACTCTACGTCACAGACAGCACAGTCAACGCCATGGTAGGCCCCGCCCCGTGCTGCTGGGGAAGACGAGACAGGGCGACCCACTTTTCAGCTGCTTCTTGATCGGCTTGTCCAGCTGCAGCCAGTTGATGGGGTCGTGCTGGTCGGAGAACTGCAGGCCGAAGTAGTCGCGCTCCAGCAGGTCCAGGTGCTCCGTCACCCTCAGCAGCAGCTCTTGGCCCGTGGCCTTCTTCTGGGGAACGGAAGCCGCCGTCAGCCACCGGAAACTCAAGGACCGGCTACGCATCGATATTTTGGCGTCAACGAGAGGTAAATTCACAACTGGCTGTTCATCAGTCTGGTTGAAGATTGCATCCGGTCACAAGAAAACTTAAACGGTTTCCAGTAAATGAGGGGTCATGCTTACTATCGAGAACCACATTACACATATGATCATGCGACCTTGAGAGACGTCTCTCCGAAGTACGCTCCGGCCGTGACCATTCGCGGAAGAAATCATGACTATCGCCACCCAGACAACACGCCACTGTTCCTGCAATCTGTGACGGGACGACCGCCGGCCCCGTCACCATCCGCAGCTGATCTGCAGGCGGGGCGGGGCCGCCACCGCCCCGGCCACGCCCCGCCTGCTGCCTGCCACCGTCCGCTGGGCCGCCCCCGGCCCCGCCCCGCCTCCACGCCCCCGTACCAGGTGGCAGACGGTCTCGCCGCCCGCCGTCGCCCCGCAAAGGCCGGCCGCCGGAAATATTTACCGGCCGCAACGAGTGTTTACCCCCGGCGCGACGGGGGCGGCGGTGGTGGCCGGGTGGAAACGGCGTACGTTTTACAGCGCCGGGGGCTGCAGCTCGTGTGTGTGTGTGTGTGTGTGTGTGTGTGTGTGCGTGCGTGCGTGCGTGCGTGCGTGCGTGCGTGCGTGAGTGCGTGCGTTGCGTGCGTGCGTGCGTGCGTGCGTGCGTGCGTGCGTGCGTGCGTGCGTGCGTGCGTGCCCGCGCGGTGGCAGTGGGACTGCATGACGGCGTATTTCAGTCGAAGGCACTCGCGCGCAAGCGCGTGGAATCTCCGACGGGCGGCAGTAGGTCAGACTGTCTGAACCACCACGGTTATAGGCTCGCAAGCCACGAATTGCGAGAGAGAGAGAGAGAGAGAGAGAGGGGGGGGGGGGGGGGGTCCTGACAGGCGCCGCCATTGGTAATATTTTTATGCTCAAAGTAGGTGCACTTCGGGCGTTAGGCCGTGATGCGCCAGTTGAGCATGCGTTCCAAGCGTCCCGCGCAACACGTGTCTGCCTGTCGCCTGGGCCCCGGAACGGTATTCGGCGGGTCAGGCGGATCCGTGGTAACAGCTCTGACCGAAACGTGGTCGGCGTTCATAATCCTCTACCTTCATGTCGTGTTCCGCGAAATTTTTTAATCAAATCGTAAAGAGCACTTGAGCAACCACCTAATAAGCAGGTGCTTCTGCACTGATCAACACTCTAACGAGCAAGAGGCTTCTGCATGCCGGGGCCGTGCGTGTTGGACCAGACGGACTGCGGCGGACGCGCTAGCCATCCCCGGAGAAGGTTGAGACAAGGCCGTGGACAGCTCATCATCCGAAGTCCGAATAAGAGTCCGAAGTCACGTTCGAGTGCTACCCATCGCTGTTGCTCATCACAGGATGGACAACCGACGAATGAGGGAAGCGATCACACGACGGACAATCGGCGGATGAGGGAAGCAATCACGGGACGGACGACGGATGAGGGAAGCGATCACACGACGGACAATCGACGGGTGAGGGAAGCAATCACGGGACGGACGACGGATGAGGGAAGCGATCACACGGCGCACAACCGACGGACGAGTGAAGCGATCACGGGACAACCGACTGAAAAGGGAAGCAGCCACGGGAAGACCGACGGATGAGGGAAGCGATTATGAGACAACCGACAGGTGAGGGTAACAACACCGGGAGGACCGACGGACGAGGGAAGCGATCACGGGACAACCGACGGACGAGGGAAGCGACCACGGGACAACCGACGGACGAGGGAAGCGATCACGGGATGTACCGCGGCATCAGCTTCCGTCCGCGACATACGGAGCGACGGCCGGAACCCCGTCAGGAGTATTGGCCCCCGCCGCCGTCCAGAGGACAATGGGATAGGAAGTGCGCACAACTGGGGGCATAGGCGCTCTGAATACCAGCGCGAGTTTCATCACATGGCCAGGAGAGATCCCCCAGGAGGGCCAGGAAGCATTGCCGCGGTTGTCATGAGAAGCAATCCTCCCTCGGCGACCCGCTCAGATCGGAACGGCACCCAGTTAAACGAGCAACGATTCAGTTTTATTTACGGCCAGCAGCAATCTTGAGCAGAGATGGCGAGACGACCTTCTCCGGAGTGAAGCCCTGACTGCAACGGAGGTCGCCGGCGCCAGCAGGCATCGTGCCCCACCCCTCCCCGAACACACGCCAAATAGTTGTCAGCCACAGCCCAGCGCGGCCCACTCGTGGCGCAACACCCTGCCCCCCCCCCCCCCCCCGCCCCTGCCCGCCAGCCGCCGGCCAGGCTGACCATCTGCCCGCCTTCGGCGAGCAGCGCCGAGCTGGTGAAGACCGCTGGTGCCGGCCGTGCACTGCCGGGTGCTGTAGCGGTGGACGCTCCCACCCCGTCCACCCTCACCTGTCTAGCCCTCGGGAACGGTATCTGGGCCGCCGATTGGGCGTTTATTTGCGCGCCTCACACTGATACAGGGGGCGCCTGACTCAGCCGGACGGCGACGCCGCCGCGCTATCGGCCGATACGGCCGGCCGACGCCGAAGGGATAGCCGCCGGCCACTTCAGGTACTGCGCCACCCGGCCGTACCGCCGGCCTGCCACCGGCGCCGGGGCCGAGCGGCGCACGGCGGCCGGTCGGCTCCAGGGACGGGCACGGCGGCAGAGGCCGAGACGTCCGCGTGAGGAGGGAAGCACGTCACGCGCCGCGCGGCAGCCCGGGCGAATGATCACGGTCATGAGGCTCTGATGAGGTCAGACCGAATGCTTCACTGGAAACCACTTCCCAGTCTAATATCCAAGCTGGACAGCGGACAGATCATCACTCGCTGGGTTTGGGCTGGACGTGTTCGGACTGACAGCGCTCCTCTCTTGCAACGGACTAGGGCGCGCTCTCCAGCCCTCGGTACAGCGCTCCTCTCTCGCAAGGAACCGGGGTGCGCTCTCCAGCCTGGCTACAGCGCTCCTCTCTTGCAGGGGACTGGGGGGGAGGGGGGGGGGGGGGTGCTCCCCAGCTCTGGCGCCTGGGAACACCACGGTTGCAGGCGGACGGCAAACTCTGCTCCCTCAGCCCGCCTGGACGCACTTATTACCTTAGATGGAATGAGACTGACGTGCTCTAGCCCTAGCCTATGGTCGCTTGCTGCTTCGGCGGAATTGGTTACATCGTGTGAGTAAGCACTGTCCAGCTGGGCTGAATGTACACAACTCCAGCTGAGCTGTAAACATCTCAGTCACAGCCAGGCCGGGGTGCCGTGCCCAAGTGAGCACGGATTCGCTCCACCATATCCAGGTGGGCGATACCCCGCCACAACCATGCTGGGGATACTATGCCGCTGCCACACTGAGGATACCCTGCCGCTGCAAGACTGATAATACCTTGCTGCTATCAGACTGAGGATATCCTGCTGCTGTCAGACTGGGCATACCCGTCGCTGCCAGACTGAGGATACCCTGCTGCGGTCAAACCGAGGATATCCTGTCCCAAGCAGACCGGAGATACCCCGTCGCTGCCACACTGAGGATACCCTGCTGCTGCCAGACTGAGCATACCCTGCCGCTGCCAGACTGAGGATACCCTGCTGCTGTCGAACCGAGGATACCCTGTCCCAATCAGACCGGGGATACCCCGTTGCTGCCAGACTGAGGATACCCTGCTGCTGCCAGACTGAGGATACCCTGCTGCTGCCAGACTGAGGATACCCTGTTGCTGCCAGACTGAGGATACCCTGCTGCTGTCAGACTGAGGATACCCTGCTGCTGCCAGACTGAGAACAGGACACCCCACTGCGGCCAGACTGGCCACGTCCTGTCCCCGGCAGGCCTGCAGGGATAGCCGTCTGCAGTTATGTTATGGATATTCTGCCAAAGCCTGAGTAGAGATAACATGTTTCAGCTTGCCTGGAAGCACACCGCCCCCGCCTAGACCAGCTAGGAGTGCCCCGTCCCCAGACGACCTGCGCTCGCCGCTGTCGCGCGGTGCGCAACTCCCTATCAGCGGCGTTATCGGGGAGAAATGCCTCCGGTATCGCCTGGCATGACGGCCTGCCCCCCCTCCCCGCCCCCCCCCCCCATGGTAAACACCGGCACACGGCGTTGCAGGCCACGGCGAGGCAGGGCTTGGTCAAACAGGGCAAGGCAGGGCTCGGCCGAACGCGGCGGGGCAGGGCTCGGCCAAACGTGGCGGGGCAGGGCTCAGCCGAACGCGGCGGTGCAGGGCTCGGCCGAACACAGGGGCGGCTAATCGGAGAGCGCCGCGTCGGTGCATATCGCGCAGTGGCCGGCGGCGATACAGGCGATACTGCCCCGTGCTTAGTCCTCTAAGTGGTGTAAGCAGGTGTGCTCTGTTTTGATACAGCGAGGGCTGTCAAGGACACTGGCTCACTCCGGCCGCGATTGGTCGATTTGTACAGACGGTGGCAGTTTGAACGGGTTTGTTCCGGGAGCAGTAGGTCAGCCTAAGCCGGCGGCTTTGATCGGGGCAAGGGTGTCCAGCTCGTGGTGAGGCGATGCATGGAGAATGGAGACAGCTTCGACTGGAGCAGGGCTGTTCTGTAAGTGATATGTCGGCAAGCATCAACAGTCACGGCCGAAACAGGGATAGGGAGCCGAGCCGACAGCTGCGACCGCTACAGACTTGTCCAGCGAGTGGTTACTAGATGTATCGAGGCAGCTACCAGTAACACCAGAGTGCCCGGGAAAGGATGACAGTTTGTGTCCACAGTTATGGCCGGAACAGCGTTGTCTGGCGATGTGATGTAGCTTAAGAGTGTCATTAACAAAACAAGTTGCGTTTTATTGTTTACATTAGAACGATATGAACAGGGACAATGATAGTTTTGACGGTGTTGTGTTGAGTTGTCTTGTGAGTAACTCAACACAGAGCAACCCGGTCAGCGACCAGCGAAGACGCGGGGGGGGGGGGGACGGACAGTCTCCGGAAGATAGCTGCATTCGAGCCACCATCCAGCAGCTCC